AGGAACGAATTTCTTCCGCTCCTCAATCAGAGGTGGGAATGAACACCCTGTTCTAGGATGCATTCACTCCCACTTACATCGACCCATCTCCTATGCACTTCTTGCAACGCTCGAGAGTCTCATCGATTTCATCACCTTCAAACACTTGCGTGCAATGCAAGGTCGACTCCATCCAGGGCCAACCACATGAGGTAACCCATCGACGAACATCGTTGTCTGTACAGCTCGTCTTGGCTACTGAGTGAATTTTCCTTGACTGGTGATTAATTATTGCCACCGGAATCAGTGCTGCTCGGATTTCTCTTCGTAGTTCTGGCTTGCTCATTCCAACCCATTCAGGAGGACTAATCTTCTCCAATTGCAGCTGCATCCATTCTTCTGTGTCCTTGACTGCTTCTTCAACTCTTTCAACTCTTGTTAGCGTGGAGCTTGCCAGCTCGCATAACGTAGACATGTCCTGAAGTTGCAGGTCTGACCGTGGAGCTTCTGCCCATGCATCTTCGACATATTGGAGTGTCACGTTCGATGAATGTCGGGCCATCCACTGGATAGCCGTCAATGGCACTCCTTGTCTTGCTAGGTCTTTTGCTCCGGATCTTCTTGCGAAGTGGCCTGTCACTCTTTCAACATCCAGACCGCCCGCTTCTTGCACATGCAACTTCATCACCTCACACATCTTCTTTGCGTGTGAAACCATCTTTTCCTTGCTGACCACAATTTTGCAGCGGATCCAAGTTGCCCCACCAGCGGAATGTCCAAGCCCCATGCATCTTCTTGCCTTTTCATTCCGACTTTGGCCAATTGTAGGTTGACCAAGTCCAGTCCGGCATGGTATGGACAGATCGAAGGGTGGACCTTTCCACATGAGCAGGCCAGAGCTCGCCACGTGCCCTTTGCGGACGGGTCCGTCTTCTGGACCGTAAGGTGCAGTCCAATTGTCATTTGCTTCTTGTCTATTTTGATCCCGTTTTCATCCACCGTTAAGGCCGCCAGCTCAGTTTCTCTCAGGAGGAACTTCGTGGCAAGGACCCAGATTCTTAGTCCACCGGCAGGCTCATCGGATTCCACCTTCATCTCGTTTGGCTCTTTGCCACATTTTACTGACAACTTTGCCCACCAGACTAATCTGACCTCTTCTGCTCTAGTGGCTGGTCCTAGAGCTCTTTTCGAGGCACGTTTGGCGTCAGTGAGAGCCATCTGCAATCGCTCACTCCATTCATATCCCATTCTTATGTGCCGTGATTTGGCCTCATAAACATATGACATGGCTGCACGATAGCCGCTGGCTCTCAAGATGGCCGTGACATCATTTATCAGGCTCTCTGTCAAGGGAAGGCTGCTTTGCTGCAGTCTCTGTGAGATCCTTTCCCACAGTCCAAACAGAGAGTCTTAGGTGTCCATCGTGGTCGGAGCATACTTCAGGCTTCCAAACTGCTGTATTGCGAGCTTTCTTTCTTCGCGGTCTTCAGCTATCCTACACGCCAGCTCAGCCGAGCCTCGTGTTGGCCTTTTGACAGTGGTGTCAGGCTGCCAGGGTCCATTCTTTCGTCTCCTTTTCAACACTTCACCTGCTGCTGTCACCAAGAGTTCACCTCTCAGACACGGTTGAGGCGTTCCTGGCGCAGGCGTTCCAGGTGCAGGTGTTGTTGTGCTGGATTGCGTCATCCTCAGCCCTGCACTTCCAGTATCATTGGGTGTCGCTTTGCTCAGCACGTCCTTCTCAGGCCATCCCAAGGCTCTCCGTGCGGCTATGACCGCAGGAGGGACCTCGTCAACTAGGTAGCCTTCATATGTGAAGGGAACCACAAGAGGCCCTCTAGTCTTCTTATGCATTGAGCCACACCTGACGTTGCCGTCTCGTTGCATACTCATGTGATTCTTCAGCTCATTTCACTTCTTTCTTATTGTTTGGTCTTCTGATTTGAGTGCGGACTAAGGACCTGTAATTTGGTCATCAATTCAAGTGCGGACTGAGGACCTTTAGGTGATTAAAAGAAAATAAATCTCGTCTGAATGTTTCATGGAGTCTCACCCGCATCACCTCACATCGGGAGGAACATGCCTGTAGGTGAAGTTGTGAAGCCTGCAGTTCACGCACGTGCTCACAAATACAAAGTTGTTCGCGCGCGCGTGAAACATGAAAGTTGCAAGTGACATCAGGTAACAAGACATAGCAAACACGGATGCTCCACTGTCGCGCGTTTTCGTTTTTCTCGGGACTTATGGCCACGCTCTGAAATCAGTCCTTGCACGTGCCGGAGCTTCGACCCATGTCGCTTGCCTCAGCTGGACTGGCAGCGTCGTCTTCAACGACCTATCCATCCTGCTAAGCCTGTCTGCTATGTCATTCTCGATGCCTGCCACATGTTCCGCCTGCAAGGGCAGCAGTTGCATGAGTTCGACCTGAATCGAAATCTCTGCTGCCAGCTGACACAAGATCGGAGATTTTGCCTTGTATTCTGCTGCTGCGCGTAGGGCTGAGGTGTTGTCAGTGCGGATGAGCACCTGTGGTGACATGGCGCTGTTTTGGAGCCATGGCGCAAAGGCTTCAAGTGACATCCAGATTGTCAGAAGTTCCCATTCATTTTGGTATGATGGGTCTCCAGCATCTGATTGTAGCAACTCAAGATCTTGTTGCATGACTTCAGTGTGCCAGTAGGCCACGTGCACCTGGCCAATCATCAGGAATCCGCCCATTCCTGTAGGACAGGCGTCAGTTTGAATGAGGATTCGAGGAGCATGTGGTCTCCACTTGAAAGTTCTGCACAATCCTGGTCTCTTTGCATCTATCTCTTGTATCATGGAATTGAGCCACATCAAGGCATTGGCAACCTGCTTCACAAACACTAGCCCTTTTCTTTCACGAGCTCTGACACGGATGGGCTCTGGCCTTTGATGCTGCGTTGCTGCTGCATAGAGCATCGCCAGCCATGGTCTTGCGAGCATGAGTATGCTCGATGCCCAGCCCAGCACTCCCGTGGCATGTTGCAGGAGACGAAGTGGCAACATCCCTTTGTATGACAGGAGCTCAGTGAAGGTGTCCTGAAGCTTCTTTCTTTTGTTCTCTGCCATTCGAACCGTGACATCACCCTTTGCCCAACCAGACAAAGTGACTTCATAGCCAATCCATGGAACCGTGTCCCCGTGACAACCTTTATGCCGCGCGACATCCAATCCCAACGCTTGCCAAACCAGAGTGCACATGCAAAAGGTTCGCATGCGTGCTCTTTTCGACGGCCCCATGATTGCTAGCAATGGGTCATCTACATAGCATGCAATGGCCGCCTCATGCTCCCGCATCACCGCTTGCACTACCCTCATGGCTGCAGAGGCAACACGGGCCCATAGCAATGGCCCTGCAGCAAGTCCGAAAACCACACATTTGCTAACATAGTACTTTCCGCCCTTTCCCTTGAAGACTACATAGCCTCTTTCGGAACTCTTCAAAGGGCACATGTAGAATGCGTTGGAGAAATCAGACGAAAAGAGTTCTAGTTCTTGCTCTTCTTCACTTTGTTGGGGTCGTCTTCCGAGGATTCTATGGACTGATTTGACAAAATCCGTGATCTTTGGGAGGATGACTCTTTCACGCACTGTTGACAGCCCATTTACTCCACTCTTCCTGCAATCGACTACCAGGCGATGCTTCAACTCACCACTCTGTTTCAGCTTCGTGACGCATGCTAACTTGTGAGCACTGCATGTTCGCCCACGCATTGCACCACATGCTGCCATGTTTCAAACACATCTGCTCTTCCAGCTCTCTCCATCTCGTCCAGCAATTCTTCGGCAGGACGGCCAGCTTCTTCAAAGCTGATGTAGTTGTTCAGCTTGCCTTCTGCGTCTCCTTGCAGCATTCCTTCAATTCTTGAAGCTTCCACTGCCGCTGAGTCTGACATTGTTGCTGGGAAGACACCAGTGTTCACGATGCGTTCTCTGATGCCAAGTGGGAATCCATCACGCATCCATGCCGGCAGGACTTCTCTGTCTACGTCGTTTGCTTCATTGAGGATTGCTTCCCATAAATTTGCTTGCAAGCCCTTTTCTGCTTCTTGTGCATCAAAGGCATGGCGCAAGCTTTGCCGAACTTCTTTCACCCATTCGCTGCTGGTGCCCTTCTTCATGTCATTGGTCATCTCTTCGACCTCTTCTTCCCTCATGCGCTCTTCTAGCACGGCGCGAATTTTCTTTCCAACTTCTCTCAACTTGGCATTTCTTGCCACAGCCGCTTGCGGGTTTCTCAACCCACCAACAGCGTTCTTGTTTTCTCTTTCCCTTTTCTCCTTGAAGGTCATCTTTGTGTCTTGCTCTTCAACATGTTCTGATCTAATTGTTGATGCTCTG